AACCCTAAACCTTGAACCGTAAGCCCTAAACCCTGAACTCTAAGCTCTAAACCGTCTTTGCGAGTCCAGGGGCATGACCGCAATCGACGGAACTACGGCGACGACGGCGGCGGCAGTGACCGTGGCAAGAACCGGGACCGATGACAGCGAAGAGCGAGACCATTACGACGACTTTAGGGTTCAGGGTTTTGGGGTTCGCTTGGACTAGACTGTGATGGGCCAGCTTTGGGAGTAGGGGTTTGATGCTCAAGACTTCAGGTTCGGATGTGGAGGCTTTTTGGCTCAGCAGGCTCATGTATTGGTCCGGGTCTTGTGGTCAAGTGATTCGCCACAGGACGGCGGCGACCGTCCACCATAAGAACATAGAGATCACACTCAGGACGACTGGCCGCTCCGTTTGACGGAAGACGTACAGTTGGATAGTGTAGACGGCAATGTAGAACAAGAAAGCTAGGATCACGATTGCCATCGACAGGAGCCAGTCCAAGTACCGCCTGCAGCATCGTTCTCTCCAGCGGTAACACAAACGGAAGACCAGCTTGTCCATCATAGGGAAAATAGCCAGTGCATAGGTGAACCCCTGGACTAGCTCGACTATCTGTAGGATAGGATCGCCTACCTGGCGAGCTGAATACTCAAGTTCGAACCAAATGTACGGAGTCGTAACGAACAACACCCGTTGGTAGGACAGAGCTCTAAATACAAGCTGATCGATGACGGCCGTCCGCACACCAGACTGCACTTGTAGCTCAAAGCTGTCGAGTGAGCCATACCATGCAGCGATGCTCTGAAAAATGATCGCGCGGTCGCATAGACTGTCATTTTCTTCATGGCCGGCTTCGCAGCAAGCGCTTTTCGTGTGCTCAACCTTGAACTTGCTCAGCTGCTTTTGTAGCATGTCAACGCTGCGGGCATATGCCCGAAGAGCATGGGTCACAAAGCTGAGGAATAGCAGTCCCATAGTGCCACCCACCGGCAAATGGTATACTCCCACAAGCATTGAATCCTCCGAGGAGGTCACGGCGGCCTCTATGAAGGTATACGCCATGCATCCTGCCCAGATGAGCATCAGAGCTCCCACAAGCATAGGCCCCAATAAGGGAGGAACAATCTGTAGGCCTGGCTTGCCTTTGGGACGACTGTGGAGAAATGCAGCTATTTCGAAGATGCACCACCTTACTTCTCCAGGGACCGGGTCTACCAAAACACAGCCTTCTCAACTGCAGCTACGATGCACGACAGCCTGTGTTGGATGTTGAAAGCCTTTCCAAACATTGAATGTCGATTGTGGGTCGAAACGAAAGAAGCTACTTGTCGGAATGATCAGTCCATCTCGCGAACCTATTCATTCTTGCAGTCTCACTGCAGAAGCCGCAATCCTGCGCTCCTGCTCCCGCTACTGCAGTCCGCAGTCCCCGTGCAGTCTACATGTATTGGTGACTGTGTGCGGTGTACGCACATGTGTGTGTGTATATATATATATACATGTATATGTATGTATATATATATATATGTATATGTATGTGTTCCCTCGTTGAGAGTAGGTTTTGCCCTAACTTTGCAGCAGGAAAATTGAGGGGAAGTGGCCGACAAGACTAGAAGAAGCCAGGTCGCAGTCTTGCCACCCACGTGGGATCCCACAGCACCAACATGGAGCTCGACTGCTTCAGAAAAGCACCCATGCTCATAATAGCCTCTCCTTTTTTGCCTTCATCCGTTTGATGTATGCATGCGATGTCTAGAAACACAAGCTTTCGCGGATGCCACAGCAGCAGGGTGATACAAAACGTAACCAGCCCAAACAGCTGGCACCATCTCGCCTCCGCGCTCAGAAATCGCGCAGACACAAGACCGAAGGCGACGCTTGCGCTCAATGTTCCTGCAATACTTGCCGGTATGCCGTTATGGAGGTAAAGTATGTTGATGTA